TCAGGACCTCTGGAAGAGCAGCCAGGGCTCTTAACCTCTGAGCCATCTCTCCAGTCCCATAGAATTTTTTTAAATAAGGAGAAGAAAAATTGATCCAGGATCTCTTTTCTGAGGCAAAGAAATCCTAACATTCTTGATTGTCTTGCCTCAGCCTTCTGAGCACTATAATTCCAGGTGTGTGTCACCATATCTGGATTCACAGATTTTGAGGGTGTCAACAGTATAAACCTTAAAACCTTAAAAGTTTATGAAGATCCTAGCTACCTTTTGTAGAGCATCTATATGGTGTTTGCTCTTAGGCGGCTCTCTAGGAGGAAGCTAGAGTGTAGAAATCTGATCCGTTCCCATGGCTATCTGATATTCTTGAAAATGATGTATACATGCTATGATGTGTATGGATCATTGTTCCTTTAATGCTAGATAATGAGTACAGACTGAATTCAGAGCAGGTCAAAGTGACTAACTTTGACCAGCATGACCTCAAGATATTATGGACAACACAGGACTTCCAGAACTGAGTCAGAATGGAAACCCTCTTTTGCCACCTTCAGAAGCACAGGCACCCATTCACCCTAAATGTCCTCAGTCTAGATATTCTCTCCCCAAACACAGTTTTCTGGTTCAGAGACTCTCCTATTTCACTGTGTTATGATAGAGGCTTGAGACATGCCCAGGATGGAGATACTTTGTTTCTGTTGTGGAAACTCTTTCCATCTCTATTGTTACCTGTGTCCAGGGTAGGTATCAAACTGTGTCATTTCAATCATATCTTACATATCATACCACTGTCTTTAACCTCACTTACTTTAGTGAATGGCTACAAAAAATAAGACAAAAGAACAGCAACCTAATGAAAATTCAACTTAAGTTAATGAGACCCATTCAGCCAGCTGAGGGTTGTTGACAAACACAACCAAGAGTACTGCTACAGCAAACTGTTTGTTTTTAACCCTATATGCCACACCAGTCCTGTCTGGCAAATTCTCCTGTTGCTGGCCACTTTAAGCCTCCAGCTCCAGAATCTCCAATGTCTCTGATACTCTGGTGCCTTTTCCTCTTAGTAGATAATCTCACCTCCCATTTCTCCAGCAAAAGGCATCACTCTTGATAACTATGGCCTTAGTTCCCTAACACCAGTAAACCTATACCACACAAGGACTTGCTTCTCTCCTCATTTTTCTTTTGGATTTCTGGAGAACCATTCCAATCTTCCTTAAGGTCAATAATGCCTAATACTTTTGCATTCAGTTCTCTGCCTTTGTTTTCATACTTGAAATTAATCATTACTCAACACTATTTTGCTCTGTCTTCAACTCTCTCCCTTAAATGGCTTTATCTCTTACTATTCAAATATGCTTAACTTATTTACATTCTAAATATGCTCCTCTACATCCTCTCAAAACTATTTAGTTTTTGTACAAACATGTTAACTTTTTGCCTTTCATTTCTTTTCTATAGTTTCTCTTTACATATCTGGCATTACCATCCACTGAGATTTGTCCATCAGTAACAACTGTTTCACGTGTTTATGTACTGTGCATGTTTCTGGGATGCTCACTTACTAACACTTATAGTTGTGGTCAGCTGAAACTCACCATAGAAATCCACCTGAAAGGATGATTCCAGGAAACCCAAATCATAAGCACCAATGTAACACTGATAGGTAAGATAATAACAAGGCAAATATGGTTTATGTAAGCATAAATGTATGTCTACATTCAATATGAAATTACTATATTACTACATTCTAGAAATAGGTAAGACTTCATTAACCCAAATAAGGCTAAAAAGTAAAAATGCATTTTGCACCAATATGTTCAAAATCATTCAAAGACGTCTACTGTTATTATTTCCAGTCATCACTGGACTGAGGTCCCAAGTACACTAACACAAGAAAAAAATAATTGATGTAAAACTACAAAAAAGAGGTAACAACTATTATTAAATGCATATGATAGGACATTCTGGAGGAAGTGAACAATAATCTCCAAGTGATTTAAGAATTAAAAAGCTGAACAAGAAAGG